GGGCTCCTTCATGTAATCATAATTGGGTTCCCCTATCATGCCATGATTGCTCGACTCCTCAACCTTCAGGCCTGCGGGGTCGAGACCTTCATCGAAAATAGGTGCACCGTCGTAACTACCATCGTCCAAATCGGAAACGATTTCAATCTCTTCATTAAAGATTGGTGGTCCATCATAGGTGTCATTGCCATATAACTCATCCCACTTTTCGAGATTGAAAGGAGTGAAGGGCTGCACGTTGAAATCAACAACTGACCACTCCTTATGTTAGGCACCACCAGCGTGATTGTTGTCTCAAACACGAACCCTCTTTGTTGCTGTTTTAAAAGTACAGCCAACTGCTGGGCCTGCAAGTCCGTCTGCTGACACGTGTGCCATCTCCTCATGCTTGCCCTCCTCTACTTGTGCTTCTGCAGTCAGATGTCTAGAAGCCATTATCAGGAGCATAGACTTGCTTTGATACCAATTGATGTAGCGTGAGCACAAATATAGATGAAACGCGTGATCAAACTCGTTGATTCACGCACGAATGCCTAGAGATCGGTCATCTTGGAAGAATTTCAAAGACTCAATATTATTCATTAAAAACAACCGACATAAATGAAAACCTACCTCTTGCTTAAATAGTTAATCCTACTAAAATCCCTATCGACTAAAATAAAATATGCAATGAAATAAATATTGATCTCGCGTCCATCAGACCCATCCATACGCTATCTTCTATTGCATCAATCACCCTGCGTTCATGTTAAAATTTTTGTCCTAGGATCACATTGCTCTTGTAAATATAAACTTGTTTGTCTACACATTTTTTTTTTCCAACATTGCATTGTTTAGAAAGGCTCAATTGGAGTACCAGGACATTTTTGGGGTATAGGCTTGAGACAAACCTATAAATAATTCAGTAGAATATAAATATACAAAAATGTGCTCAAAGTAAAACCATAAACCATCTTGAAAATCCATAATACACCAGATTACCAAAATTAAATGTTTAATTTGCAAACTTAATATAGATCAATACTTCTAAAATAAATTGTAATGTAATTCTACTGCTAGACGTAGAAACAACCTAGAAGTCCCATATCACCTCTACTAATAGAATAGTTTAGAGAATAGTTGTCATACTTGATTCCTTTATCATTCTCCTAATGATTATTAGTTTCTTCCCATTATTTGTTGTTATCCTATGTCTATAATGGTGCATTATTTTTTCCGAAGCTCGTGTCAAGGCAAAAAAAAAAAAAAAAGTTAAAACTGTAAAATGGTATAGTCTATAAAAAAAATTCCTAAAAGCCCACTGGTATAAAATGCATCGCGTACACCCTAGTCTCCTTGAGGCATTGCATTGGGGTACAATCCTCAAGTGACAATTGAGGCATTCGATGAAAGCCTCATGTGAGGTGCGCCTCAAGACTTAAGCCTCTAATAGCTTTTTGAAAACAATTTAACGGTGTAAGTTGTCATTCTTTTAGTTTATTGGCATGACATTCACCCTAAAATTTCGTATCACACCCTATCACATGTCTTTCCTGAATAAAGAAACATCATTGAAAATTTTGGTTCGTCTCTCTATACTTTTAGTTTTTCTTTATTTTCTTAAATGAGCGAGTTCTATAACAGATTCTCATGACTAATGGCAAATTTCTTCTAAGAGACTAGTAAGCTTAATAATTTATGATTCTAAATATCTTTTTATTCTAGTAAATAAGTACAAACGACTCATCCTCTATTCATCAAGCATCATTTAATCTTTAGAATCTCATCGATTAATTTTGTAAGCCCTCTAATACCTGCACACTTCCTAGCTCTGATGGAAATTTGTTGTGGACGTCTTTTGGCATGTCCATCCTTTTCATAGACTGTGACACTTTCGAAGTCTGGATCTTTTAGTATTGCTAACATTCCTATCTTCAATAGAGTTTTACTCATCTCCAAGTTGCATGATATGGTTTTCATTGAATGATATGTCAAAATAATTCTTACATCTTTACTTATTTTATGTGATCTCATATTATAAGCCCCTGTTTGAGCCACATTAAAATTTTTATTCTCATTCTTCTACTCATTTTCAACCACACATTCTTCAATAAAATAATATTTTATATTACATCAATAACTTTTCCTTCCTTTTCAACCACACATTCTCCATCAATCTACTATTCCAAAATACATTCTTTCAAAATAATGTGGCTCAAACACACCCTAAAATAGACTCTTTAATTCTTATCTTTAATGCACGTAATTGGTTTAGATCTTTACTTCTCTTTTCCCTTTGTCGAGATACCCTGTAAACAGTTTTCTTCTCATCCTTGGTTTCCATAAAACTGTGCTTTCCTGGAAGTTTTTTCCTGAAACTCCAGAAGCACTCTCTTAATTTCCATTTGGCTAACTTGACTTGTCTAAAGCTTCTGCGTTTATATTTCACTAAGAAATTGGAAAAAGAGATGGAGAGTAGTTTTGGAAGAAAAGGTGGGAAGGAGAAATAAGAAACTGGTCTCAGAAGTTAGTAACTGTCAATATGATTTTTAAGTTGCAAAATTGGATAATCAACATTTACGACGTACAGAACCAGAAAGAAAGGTATTCTCTGTCCACTAAATGCTTTGTGGTTTTTATTATCCCACTCTAATTTTTAAGTTGATATCTGGGAGGTTATATTAGACTTGATATGGGATGCTTTTGGGTGTAATTAAATCGCGGAGTTATGAGTATCATAAGATAGCATATTAGAACCGTTGTTTGATAATTTTGTGATACTAACGTGTACTCTTTCTTTAAACTGCTGGCACGTTGTTCATTGTTCGTATAAAGATAAAAATGGAAGTGTACAAGAATAACCATCTTCTTGTTAGGAATGAGTGCTGGGGGGAACTCTGATCTGGCAAGTGTCCACCTTCACTTGAGAATACTTGCACATACAATCATTGGTCAATAACTTACATATTGTAGATATATGTTGACCAAGACCAACTGGACTTTTAGTAGCTGTTATAAATCAAACAGGAGACTGCCTATTAGACAGAGGCTATTCAAAGATCCAATGCATACATTATGAAGCTTTTGTAAGTAGATCTGGTATGAGCTGTTACTAGGGCTGGACATGGTCCGGTTCTCTTCAGAATCGAACCGAATCAAAATTTTTAGGTATTTAATAAATGAAACCGTCAGGTCCAAATATAATTATGGAACCGTTCGGGTTCGGTTCGATTCCGTACCATAATTAAATTTTTTAACAGATTTCTAATGGTCAACGATCGGTGGTTGTGGTTGGAGGTCGCGGCTTCGATGGGCAGTTGGAGATGGGAAGTCGGAGTCGGCAGCTTCGATTTGGGCATGTAGATGAAAATTTTCAATTTATCAAATGATTTGGGGTAAGTGACTCAATGGTTACCGAATGAAAATGTGAAATTGAAAAGAGAAGGATAAAAACTTAAAAATGCCTAGATCTTGGGCTAAGAATGAAATTAATAATTGGACCAAAAAATTAAATTAAAAAATTGAATTTAAAAATTGAATTGTTGGGCTAGATAGGCATAGACTTGGCTTGGGAGTTAGAACATTAATCACTAAATTAGTTAATTTGTTTAGAAAGAATTTAAAAAAATAATTAATTTAATATAAAAAATTATTTAAATTCGATTTTTATTTGGTTCTGGGTCTAAAACCAAGAACCGAATCGAACCCGTCGGTTCTCGATTCAGATACCCGTTCAGGTATTTAACTTATGAAGAACCGCTCGATTTGGTCCGGTCCGGTTCGGTTCGAGAGTTTTGTCCATCCCTAGCTGTTACTATGGCTTCTAGCTGACCAAGGGGTAAAATTATCCCTAATTCGCACTTAAGTTCTTGCTGCAGATATCTGGAGTAGATACGTATGAAATTTTCTTTTTTACAAGAGTCTGAGGAGGCTGCAGGCTTATATTTTTTTATAATAGTTATACTGGCAATTGAATGCAGCAAGTTTGAGGGGGAACGGTGGCAGTGCAAGGGTTCTGCAGTCTTATATTTTTTTATAATAGTTATACTTGCAATTGAATGCAGCAAGTTTGAGGGTGAACGGTGGCAGTGCAAGGGTTATGCTAATCTGATGTGTCCATGCTGCATTTGGGAAGGAAAAGCTGTTTTGCAAAGAAACTGAATGGATGTTTTGGATCTCATATTTTTGTGCAACCGTTTTGGTGCTTATCTCATAAAAGACTTAGAAAATAAGTAGTCTTTTTGTTCCTTCACTTAATGATTGAAGTTAGACTAAATGCCTTGTTGTCTCCTGCTGTGTTCATTGTATATCCTGTCCATCTATTTGTCCTATTCCATAGAGTTTTTGTATGAGAAAGAAATGACAAATGGAGAACGGAGAGATTGATTCAAATTATAGAATCACAATGTTGAGGCTAGCTCAGGATCATTATCATTTTTGGTTTGAATGGTTTCTGGAAGTTTCTGGTTTGGTGCCTTAAGAGCTGCAGTACTGGATTATTAACTCTGTCACGTTTCGCAATAATTGCTTCCATGTACCACCATTGATCATCCATAAAAAGACCCCCCGTCAGTGTGGTTGTTTGATATCAGTTGAAGAGATATCAACATAGATAAGGTGCTAGCTTGTCTTTCATCATTTACACCCTGATTTCTGTTTCACCAGAATCTTCTTTAATCTTCAGTGTGATTGCATAATTATAAAGAGAAATTTCTGTATATATTAAGGATTACTTGATTATGTCTTTGCTTTAAGGAGAGATGATACCTTTTGAATATATTTATATCCTCTGTCCACCCTAAAATTTACAAACTGCACCTTTTAAGGCCTGTGTACCAACTTCACCAGATTACGGAGTATGATATCGTGCTACTTTGCGTGTTACTATGCCCTGTTTCAAAACACTTCTGCCATTCATCTCTCTCCAGTTTGAGGTCGACATAGGTTCAAAGCATGGATTGCTCTGTGTAATAGAAATTGCTTGTCACTAAAAGTAAACGTCTCTTTTGCTTGTGTTGCAGGTGGACAGCAATCACTCAGTTAGCTCATCATGGAATGCTATTTGTTCCCATTGGGTATACTTTTGGCGCTGGTATGTTCAAAATGGATTCCATTAGAGGGGGTTCTCCATATGGTGCTGGAGTCTTTGCTGGGGATGGCACAAGGGAAGCAAGTGAAATGGAGCTGGCCCTGGCAGAGCATCAGGGTAAGTACATGGCTGCTGTAATCAAGAAGCTAGCTCAGGGTTGAAAATTTTAGCTTTTGAGTCATTTGAACTTAGATTCATTATTTCGGCGTTGACATTTGTTCATTTTCCATGTTTTTATGCCCCAATATTGGGTATTTTGGTTGACTGACCCTCCCTTTTATTTGTGAAAATTGTGCATATTTTTCGTTTTTTGACTGGTTAGAGTATAATAAGTGGAGTGCCTAGACTTGTTGCTTATGTACTCTTCAATTAGCTGGATTCATAAATTTCAAAAGATTTTATTCTGTTTGGTCAATGCTGATTATTATGTTCTCGTTATGCCACTTCCTCTCATGCCATTAGCTATTTATTTGCATCACGCAGTCTGTCATGGAAATGAGAATTGTAAGTTCGTAAAAACTGGTTATCTTCAAATGCATGTTTTCAGTTGAGAAGAAGAAGCAAGTTGGGCAAGGCAAGGCCGTAAAGTAACCATCAGGCTCTGGTAAAACAATCAGTTCTTAGTTTTACTGGTAATTGACTGAAACACTAACGACTCAGCTTGAAGTATCTAATTGATGGTGAGAGTATCTTCAATTTGGAGTATACACTCTGAGAAGGGCGAAATTGCCTCGTAATGAGTTGGATATTTGCATTATGCAATTCATTATTAGTGAAGATCATCACTAGTATTCCTTAATTCATTGTCCAAATTCATAACGGAGAGCGAGCAATCCACACAAATCATAATAAAAATGATAAGATTTTGGAAATTCGAAGAATAAAAAATAAGGATCTCTGCCTTTTTTGTGGGATATGTTTCTTACATCGAAATAATTCTACACATGTTTTTGAGTTGTTGAAACTTCTTGTGAATTGTTGATTTGGTTTGGAATCCATGAAACTGGGCAGATGTATGGCTGGCATCTAAAAATGTCACAAGACAATGTCCCATTTTAAACTCAATTTTAGCCACATTTACCAGTGTTGTGAGGCCAATTATGAAAAAAAGAAAAATTGAATGCAATCTGTTGCATTTAAGTCCCCAAGTTTAAGAACAGAATAAGGGCGCTTTGTCATCCAGACATATAAAGAACAATCGTGCTACACGTATATATCATCTTTTACATCATTGTTTAAATTGTGTCACGTGGCAACACACCATTGTATAGTTTAAAATAAATAAATTTTTTGCCCACAATTTTTTGAAAACAAATGGGATGTCAAACACAATGTAAGCCATTAAATGTACACAAAACATTATTCTATAAGAAAAATGCTGGTCGGCCAGGGTGAAGGACCGACCAGAATCTAGGTGGCTGAGGTGTCATCACCTCGGCCCCTGATTTAAAGGAAGAGGACCCCACATGAATTAAAATCAAGGGCCGAGGTGCATCCACCTCAGCCCCCTGGATTTGGGCCTGGTTTTGGCCCTGGATCTGCAGCATCTCTCATTCTATAAAGAAATTAGCTGTGAAACAGCATTTGGTGCCTGAAAAGATGGATCATGTGATGCAAATTTATGGGGGTGGGAAGTGCTTTTAACTTTGACCTCAATGAACTGAGACACGTGTAGATGTTGAGGAGGAATAGACTATTGTCATGGAGGAAGATGATGTGATCGGATTGATACCGGTGATGAAGATGAGTGGGACAAATTTCTTGTACACGGCTTAGGTAGATGAAGAGGCGGCTTAAGCAATTTAGGGGCATTAGAGAAAATTGTCAAGTGGGTATTTTAAAAATAAAAAAATAATTAATAGATTAAATAATCATGGTGGAAATTTCATTAGCGATCGCCTTACCTAAATATGGGGCCTTAGCCTCAATCAACTGTCTAGCATGTCTAGAGGTTGAATCGGATATGGTTGAGAAGTTAGAAGATGGAGTGGTAGGTTAAAATTGTTGTAGTCACTAATGATCTAGTTAATTTTGATCTTTTAGAGCATCTCCAATGCAAGTGTGGATTCCTCCAAAAATTTTGCCGCTATTGCAATTTACCGGGATTTTATCATGCTGATGTGTTAGAGGAAAAAACAGACATTGTATAGAGCTCCGTCTATATATATTGATCTATTCACTAAATATCAATGTCATGAAAATCGAAAGTCCATTTATATGCATGCCACTTAGATACCAATTAATAGAATGTATTGGAGATGCTTTTAGTAGGTTAAGCAACGAAGAGAGCATAATGATTAATGGAGCAGTATTTATGTAACCTTCCTCCAATTTATCGAATATAAGTCTTTGTTCGTTGTCATTACATACTTTAAAAGAGTCGAAAAGTATCTATTCCAGAGCAGAGTCCCATAGTTTCATTCGAGTGAAATTTCGGCAAAATCTATCAACGTTGACTTGAGCCTTCTTGCCTTGAGCATCGCCCAATAGGACTCTCCCTAGTCTCAAGTCTCTCTTTCACGTTCGTGACGACGTACAAAACTCCTTTTTGTATTGTCATGTTCTGAACAAGTCATTGACAAATATATCATTGATAATCTTATCAACTAGTCCTAAGTTTAGTTGTTTACTAATGAATTAAGATGGAATACATCTCCATATTGTGATGAGGTTAAGTAGTTGGAGGTTAAGAGTTGAGGATGCTTGTATTTATTAAAGCATTAAAACACCAAACCCTACAGTTTCTAGTTGGCTGTCGTTACTGAAATTTTGAGTAATTGCTATGAGAAAATGTTAGGTGAATTGGACCCAAATTTTAGCATGCTGGGTGTTTGAAACTCTCTTGCAAATGTTGTAATAAATCCTATGATGTCAACCTATCAGAACCCAACTACTTTCTGTTCATCATCTGCCTTCTACAACTTTCTTGCACCAACTCTTCGAGGGATGAGAGAATGGGAAAAATAGGAATATATATTTCTTGGATCATGCAGCTAACATATTTTGTTCTTTTGTAGTGATTTTTTTTCATGGCGTTTCGAGTTGCGAAAGATTTAATTGTACTCCATCTTCCACGGAAGTAGTATTATTAAGCTCATGTTTGAACCCAGGGGCGGATCCAGGATGGGATCTAAGACCGGGTTACAAAATTTCAAACCGGGCTAATACGCGAAAAAAAAATTTTACACATGAAAAACTGTTTTAAGGAAAAAAAAAAACCTTATAAAAAAATTTTTTTTTGGGCCTTGAGGGGGGTGGGGGCTATAGCCCAGCCAAGCCCCCCCTTGTATCCGCCCCTGTTTGAACCACATTATATAAAAAAATATTTTTCTTTAAATTCATTTTCTACCATTCTTTCTTTCATTAAAATAATTTTACACGTAAACTCAATTTTGTTCCCCGCATTTAACCACACATTCATAAAAAAAACACTATTACAAAATCCGTTCTTTCAAAAAATAGGGCTCAAACACACCCGAAATCTTAGGGTTTCATTTCAATATCGATCTTGTTAACCGGAGTAACTGAAGTCGCCGTACAAAATGGTTGCTTGTATAGAAATAGTAAAATTGAAATATGACTACCCATTATCGAATTGCTCGTTCGAGCGAGTAATATTCATGTACAAGACCTCAAGAATAAATTAAATTTCTTGTTTGACCCAAAAAAAATCGAATAGGACGTGTCCGAGTATGAATTTAAGCATATGAGCACAATTACAAGTAAGAATTTAAGAATGGCAGTAGGTAGAATTAGCTTGTCAGGGTAACGCGCAGTTGGGAAGCTGGAATGGCTATTGGCTTACTTGTTAATGTAATGTATTTATTTTTGAAATCTATTAAGTACATAATATGTGGGCCTGAATAAATTAATTAATGTTCAATTATTTGTGGTTTAATCAATTTAAACATAAATATTTTCAATTATTTTGAGAGACCTCTTTCAACAATACACCTAAGATACATAGAAGACAACTATATATTGACTATAATACCTTGTTTGGTTTGATTAAACATTATATTTTTAATAGATTTTGATAAACGTTGATGAAATGTATGGTCGAAAATGAGTCTCAGACAAAAGAGGGACACTTCAATTCCAAGCCTAGGGAAAGAAGAAGATTTCTTTGATCACGAACACATCGATTTGACTTTTGCATCAAGATTTTGAGAGTTTCGATAGTAAAATCCCACTCTCCTCACTCAATCGTACACGTGTTGTGTTTCAATTTGACAAAATTAATTGGTAAGATATGCTTTTCACAGTGATTATGTTTTGGATACATAATAAGCAAAACTGCATGTATAAGCCAACTCCTACGGCAAGAAAGAGCGTGGACTTATTTTAGCAATACATTTTCAGTTTTCTTGTGAACATATACAAAATAGTACTATTATTTTCAATTGAATGGTACAATCTATTGAATTTTTTTGAAGTTGATTTTGACTCGATAGACTTTAGTGTCTCATGTTCCGAAACCTCATCGTCTCAAACAATGAGACTTAAGTTAAATGAATTATAGAGTTTAGTATCGTTATCTATGTAATACCTTTGATGCAATTGTTATCGACAGATTTAAACACTGCGCCACCAGCATTTGAAGAAACACCGACAACCGGAAAAAAATATGTTCACAAGTTTTTGTTTAACTTTTTCTACAAAAGATGGAACTAGGTAATTCAAAAAAAAAAAATTTTTGTATTTTTTATTATAGAAAAATGTCATAAAGAATATGCATTGACCTCTTAATGAACACGCAACTCTAGTGAACTATTCTACTAAAAATAATACACTATAATAACTACAAGTCAACCTTGATCAATAAGAAGACTACATGTGAAGTTGTTCACACTACAAATTTTCAAATAAAAAGCTAATTGAGTAGACCAAGTCATCACGTTTCGTTTCTTTATGTCCAACTTGATGTAAGTCAAGTAGATTGATAGGGTCAAGGAAGTTTTTTTTTACCATAAAGATCTCGACCCGTTCAATCAATTTCATATAGATTTTATTGAGATTTGAGCCATATTTCAAAGATGAGTAAGTAAAGCCTTATATATTGGTCTATGCTTCGGATAATTAGTCGATGTGATATTTATCTATTAATATGTCCTTGTAAGATGATATCTCATTTGAGCAAATCAATTTATCTATTCATTTG